AGAGAACCCCCAGTGGGATCCAGCCCCCACTTAGAGCTGCTGCAGGAGCCCCCCTGCTGAGAGCGAGCCCTGGAGAGCCACTGTCCTTGTCCCTGGGAAGCAGGCCCGCCCGGGGAACTGCTCCTGGAGGACGTGCCTGTGACCCTGCCTGGGGTGTGGTCCCACGTGACGCAGCACCCAGCCCTGATATGCCCACCAGGCTGCAGGGAGCGAGGCTGGGGAGGGAGTGTTCTAGAAGAGGGCAGGTGTGCCCAGCAGGAACCCTAGCCCATTACCGCTTCCCTGTCCCTGTGCCCCAAAGAGCGGGGAGCTGGGCCAGCAGAAGAGGGCAGGTGGTGGAGAGGAAGGGGAGGGTGGAAGAAGGGGTGAGGCTGGGTGGGAACAGACATGGGGACAGTGGCAGGCTGGGCGCTCTGGGGTAAGCGCCGTGTTGTGCAGATGGCTCAGGAGACCCGTTGGGCTGGTGGGCCTGATGCTGGGCACTTCCCGGCAGCCTGGCACTGGCTCCTCCCAGGCCCTCGGAAGTGGTGCGAATAATTAGCTGCCCGTGTAGAGGAGCAGGGGGAGGTGGCACAGAGAGGGCGAGTGGCTTGCCTGAGCACGCGGCGAGACTGCAGCAGAGCTGCGACTTGAGGTCAGGTCTACATGGCTCCTCCCGGATCCGTATTACCCTCCCGGTCCCAGGGCACAGGACGCGCTGCAGAGCAATGTCTGCTGGCAAGAGCACAGCACCGGGGCCTTGGTCGTTAGGTTGGCCCTACAGGCCATCCTGGGGCCCAGCCATGGCCGTGCGGGCTGGAGAGACCTCAGGGTCCTGCCCGCCCCCAGGAGCTTTCTCCATGCAGCCACGGGCTGTGAGGTGGCTCCCTGAGCCCTGGGTTCTGGTGGAGACAGAGCCGTATCCAACAGTCCCCCATGAGGCTGGGGTCCTTCAGGGAACACCTGCTGCCTGTCTGAGGCATCCAGCAGGGTCCCCAGGTCTCCAGGCCCCATCTGGCGGCCCAGGAAGAGCACGGTCTAGTCTTCAGTCTCGCCCGGAAGGCCTCGGTGTCACCTGCTGCGCCGCAGAGCGGAGACCTGATCCGAGAAGGAAAGGCCTGGAGCACAGTCTAGACCAGGAGGAGGGAGAGGTGCGGGCTGGCGTCCTGGGCGGTCAGAGCGAGGCTGGCCTGGAAAGCTGAGGTCAGGCTGCGTGGGGGGCAGAGAAGCAGGCCCGGACATGAGCAGCGGGGACCAGGAGACTGGAAGGGACAAGCGTGACGCCTCTCCTCTCCGCTGTGGGAACCGTGGGATCTCGAATGTTCTACCTAGGAGCCGTAGAGTGGTTCCCAGCATTCCCACTTCTGACTGGACCTGTGCCAGGCCCTCAAACCACCCACGCGAACATGCTCGGATATAGTTAGTATGTCTTTGATATTTCTTTGAACTGATTTGCTTTTCTAAACTGAGCTTTGTTAACGAGAGCATCTGAGTTCGTGAATTCCACGGATCCGGCTGCAAGTCCTACCTTCTCTCCTGCCCATCCACACGAACATGCGGAGACTAAAATGGAAACGTCTCTGTCCCACATAAAGGAACCTTGGGCAACCACACAGGACTCTCCTTTGGGATCTCTGGGTCTCCTGGTAGGAGCAGGCGCCCCAGATGGGAAGGGGTTGCTCCATGGAGCCATCAGCAGCGACCCACCGGGCTCCACTCCAGCTCTGCAGCGTCTCCCATGTCCTTGGCAGAACTCAGAGGGGAGGCAGTGGGGCAGGCGGGGTGGGGGCCCTGCTGGGACAGGGTGGCCTCTGAGACAGGAGGCCAGGGAGGGCCCAGGTCGGGCCTGGAGAACAGAGGAAGAGGTTTTGCCTGAAGGTGGTCTTCCCTGGGTTCTGAAAGAGGCCTTATTTAAATTGAATGGCAATTCAGGGGTTCAGTCCAATTCCCAGAGCTGCTTTGAGTCCGGGTGGCGTTGCCTCTTGTTCTTCCTCCCCTGGGGTTGAACGGGGGCCTCAGGCAGCAGGAGACTGGGCAGAAAGGGAAGGCAGAGGGGCCAGGCACTTCCAGGTCCCTGCTGTGTGCTGCCCTGTGGGGACAGATGGCAGAACCAGGCAGGACCAGCCACCTGGCTGGCTCTGACGCCCCCTGTAGGGCTTCCCCGGAGGAGATGCCATCCTGCGGTGAAGCCGGGCTCGTGGCAGCGCCCCCAGCGTCCTCTGCCCACTGGACCCCCATGCCCAGCCGGGCAGCTGCAGCAGGGGCTGGTGAAACGTCTCGCTGAGCGGTGAGAGTCTGTGTTGGTGGTGGGCAGGGAGCAGGCGGGGGCCCCCACTCTCTCTAGACAGGAGCTGTTAAACCTCACTGCGTTTCACTCCCCTGCCCCCCAGGATAGGCAAGGAAACTGGTTTAAAATGCTGATTTCTGAGCCTCATCCCCGTAATACTGGATTCGGTAGGTCTGGACTGAGACCCAGGAATCTGCATCTCTAATAAATGCCACAGGAGACTGAGAAACGCCCTCCAGCCCAGACGTTTTCCATATCGGTGGTCCGTGGGCCACTTACTGAGAAATCTAGCTGCGAAGGGCGGTCTGACACGAAGGTCTCAGACGTCCAGACAGGAGGCCCGCACTCGTGGCCTGCTCGGCTGTGTGGCCTTGGACGAAGCACTGAGCCTCTCTGTGCCTGATGACTGTGGCCAGGGTGGTGAGACCAGCCCCTTCCACATCTGGTTTCCACAACCTTGGCTTCCACCAGCAGCAGATGCAGCCAGGCTGTGCCAATCTGCAGAAGGGGGGAGGCGGCTCCCTAAAACGGAGGGCCGGCCAGGTGGCGGGGGAGTTAAGGGAGCACTGTGCATGGCCAGCCGTGCAGTTCGAATCCCAGACCAAGTAGCTTGGAAAAAACATGCTGGACACGTGTGCATGCATGCCCAAAAGAAGGAAAGAAGGGATTGTGGCATGCCAGGCCTCCTATGGGGCGATCTCTCTCACGCGTGTGCGCGCAAGTGCACTCCTCAAAGTCTTTAGCAAAACTAAGAAATGAAAGGTAATGGGGCCAGCAGGGCATGGCGATCAGAGGTGCTGGATTCCCACATGCTTGGCTGTGATTCAAGTCCTGGACCTGGTGGCTGACTTTCTCCCGTTCCTTTCCTTTTCTTTCCTTTCCTTTCCTTTTCTTTTCTTTTTTTTTAAATAATTATTTAATTTATTTATTCATTCATTTATTTTAATTTGACCAGAAAGAGACACCCTGGGGGCAGGGGAAGTGAGAAAGCAAGCCACCAGGTCCAGGACTCGAACCATGGTCAGCCATGTGGAAGTGTCCAGCACTTTAACCACGACACCACCTGCCGGTCCCTTTCCCTTTCTTTCTCTCTCTATGGTGAAATTAAACAATAATAATAACAAATGGAATTAAATAAATAACTCTTAATGAAACTAAAAAAAGAAAAATAACGAAGGGGAGCTGCCACAGGGTTCACCCCGTATTTGCTGTCTCACTTACTCCTGGCCAGTGACGCGAGGTGACCTGCAGTACCCGGGAGGGTACACCGAAGTCGCAGGCAGATCCCCGCTGTTCCACACCAGGCATCGGAGCGGTCCAGACTTGGTCCCAGCGGGGTCCTGGAACAGCGCCCTCGGATACTGAGGGCCGGCTGTACACAGCGCTCAGAGGCTTCCCAGGGGGCCATGGCTCAGGCACTGGAGAGAGTCGGGCCTCAGCGGACCATGTGGGTGGCTGGCTGCTTCCCTGGCACAGAGGGGCCGGCGTGTCCCGGGTCTGTGGCAGCCAGCCTGTCCGCCTGCACCCGGTGCTGGACTGTGGATGTCGGCACTTGGCGGTGTGCCTGTCGTCCGCACTGTCACATGGGCCATGTCCCGGTGGTGACAGGACCCTGCAGCCTTCCCGGAAGGTAGAAGGTGGGAGTGGCGCATGTACAGAGTCTCCTCCCCTGCCTGCGGGAGCCCGCTGTCTCCTCCCCTGCCTGCGGGAGCCCGCTGTCTCCTCCCCGGCAGCAGCTTTGGCCTCCTCACGGAGGACGGAGGACGTTGTTCGAGGTTCCTCCCACCGTGCTCCGTGGGGACAGGCGGCTCTGTACACTCCTTAACAGACCCTCCTTCCTCTCCCTCAAAGAAAGTACTGCTACTAGTAATAAAAGAATGGGATCTGGGCTGGCCCCATGGCACTGTGGTTGGGCACTGCCCCGAGGAAGCCAGATCCCTCATGGCGGTCGAGGGTTCGAGTCCCAGCCCAGGGCTTGAGGAATGTGCAGGGCACCGGTGCCAAGCTTCCCAGAGGGATGGAGAATTGGAGGAGAAAGGATTGCTGTGTGACCAGGCCTCTCTGGAGGAGGGGGGCTCACTTTCTCTCTCTCACACACACACACCCTCTGGCATTAAAACAGGAGAGGGGCTGGCAAGTGGCATAGTGGTTGGGTGCTGGACTCCCACATGAGTGACAGCTGTTCGAGTCCCAGACCTGGTGGCTTGCTTTCTCACCTTTTCTCTCTCTCTAGTCAAATTAAAAATAAGTAAATAATACTAACAAATAAAATTAAATCATTTTTATTTTAAAAAAAGGGGAGGACAGCTGGTGGTATGGGGGTTAAGGCGGCTGGATCCCACATGGCCGACTGTGTGGTTCAAGTCCTGGACCTGGTGGCTTGAGAACGCTCTGGGCGTGTGTGCCCCGAATCTCGAGAGGAGAGGAGAGGAGAGGTGGGATTACAGTGTGGCCATCCCCTGGGGGGTTGCCCTCTCACTTTCCCTCTCTCTCTCTCTTTATCTCTCTCTCTCCTGTGAGTTCGGGTGCCCTCTAGAAAATTTCAAAGGAAAAGAAAACAAATAAAAAGAGCCCAGGGCTGGGCGGATAGTGGCCTGCATCCTCAGAGACTCCTTCCGTGTGCCCCTTCCCGAGGGCGGGCACCAGGGCTTGCACCTCCTGCCTTCGGGGAGTCTCTTCTCCCACGCCCAGGCCCCGGTGAGGCGGTGCCCCCTTGACTCGTGCTCTCCTGCCCCACAGATGTCCTGGCGACCGCAGTACCGCAGCTCCAAGTTCCGGAATGTCTACGGGAAGGTGGCCAACCGGGAGCACTGCTTCGACGGGATCCCCATCACCAAGAATGTGCACGATAACCACTTCTGTGCCGTCAACGCCCGCTTCCTGGCCATCGTCACCGAGAGCGCGGGGGGCGGCTCCTTCCTGGTCATCCCCCTGGAGCAGGTAGGTGGCCTGTAACCCCGGTCCCGGTCAGCTCAGGGGCAGAGAGGGGCCCTCCCAGCCCACAGCAGGCCGCCGGCCTGTGTTCCTGCTGGGCTTCCCTCGCCACTGTCCACTCCCTGTCCGAGGCCCCGTGCCCTCGCCTGCCCTGGCGTTTTCCTGTGATGCGGCAGGATGTGCGAGGCCCGGGTCCAGGAGAGCTGAGAGTGTTCTGGAGCTCGCCCGTGCTGTGCACGTGGATGGCATGTCCCTCACTGTACACGGGGTCCTTTCCCCAAGGGATTGGAGCGCACCGGCCTCCAGACAGTGACCGCCACACTCACCCAGCTCCAAGCCTGCGCCCTGGGTGAGCTTCTGGTTGGAGCTGGAGGAGGTGAAGACTGAGCCATGGGTACAAGGAGCACCTGCAGACATGGCGCACTCGCTGCTCTCCCCCGAGGCCGGCACTCAGGTCCCTTCCCCTGCCCCCACCTCCCATGCAAGGACTTCCCTTATGTAGCTGTCCTGTGAACACAGCAGATTAATTCTGCAGAGCCTAGGTCATGAAATTTTTACGCTGTGGCTGTTCGGGCAGTGCCCCGGAGGCCCGTGGGAGGTCACGCGCCCAGGGAAAGTGCTGGCTGTCAGTCCTGCTTGTTTATGGCTGAGTTCTCCCTCTGCCCTGACTCATCCCAGCCCCACCCTCCTCATGCTCGTGCTCGGGGGAGGAGCAGGTCCCTGTGGAAGGAAGCCCTGGTTCTCTGCATTCGCCACCAGCTGGTGCTGGAGGATGGCGTTTTCCAGCCTCTCCTACCCACTGCGGGAGAAGCAGACCTGGAAAGGCTTAGCCAGATCCTCCCTTGCACTGACAGGGGTAGCTGCAGTGACACGGAGGACAGAGGCGATGCACAGAGGTCTGAGGAGCGGTGGACTTGGGGCCTAGCTCTGGGTTCTGCCCCTTGCCAGGAGTGGGCCCCCAGGCACGCCACCTGAGCTCTCCTCCCTTCATTTCCTGAAATGAAGAAGTGGGCTCAGCCTCTTCCTCTGCCTGCTTCCACCACGTTGGCATCAAGCGGGCCATGGACACGAGGCTGCTGTGAGCCGCACAGCACGTTCAAGGTGCCCGTCTCCTTCTGGGGAAAGTTGTCAGCTCTGCGCATCGAGCATCTTCCGCAGGTGCTCCAGTGCATGGGCCCACTGCAGCCTGAGCACACTCAGAAAGAGTCTGAGATGCAGCTCGCCCCCTCCGGAGCCAGATGGCCTCCCTTCGCTCTCTGCCTGGGGGATGAGCTCAGCCCCGCATGTCCGCAGGCCGCCAGGCTCCTGCAATGTGGAGGCTGCTTCTTCCTGGGGCTTGAGGCCCTTACAGACCTGCCACATCTCATCACGTCCTGCGAGGGCGACAGTCAGCGCCTCGCACCACAGCAGACGTGATGCCGGGCGGATTAAAGATCTAAATATTGGAAACAAAGAGGAAGAAGAAGAAAAGTTGCAAGTGTACTAGAGGAAAATGGAGAGCACTTTAAAATCATGCAGGTAGGAAAGGCTTCCTAAGCAAGACAAGAATCCCCCCAATCTCGAGGGAGATGATTTAATAGAATATATATATTTTTAAAGATAAAGTTTCTGTGCTACAATGAGACACTTAAACAAAATGAGAAGGATTGAGCCACATACCTGGAGACACTGTTTGCCATACCTAGCAGACTAAGGACTTGTGGCCAGAATATATAAAGTTGGAGAAAAATCAATAAGAAAAAGAACCCAGAAGAAAAATGAATAAACTGCCCATTGCCACAAGCAATTCATGGGAGACAAAGGAGAGCTTTGAACCTACTCACTGGGGGAGGTTTTTGAAAGTAGTAATCTTCAGTATTGGCAGAGGTGTGAGAGAGCAGGTGGCAGATACACTAGGAGAGAGGCGAGGCAGTTGGGCAGTACCCCTTAATATTTAAAGATGCAGGGCTGAACAGGGACACCATGGTAGAAGCAGTGCTCTGTGAGGCTGGCCCCCATGCAAACGTCCCAGGTTCGTGTCCAGAGGCTCTGAGTACGCCTGGCACCTGTGTGCCCAGGATCTGGGGCTGGCTGAGGCTGGGATGGATCATGGCATCAAGACCCGGCTGGAGGTGCTGTTTCTCACCTCTCTCATGTGTGTGCTGATGGGAGGATTTGAACTATATAAAATAGTTAATATTATTATATATATTATTGTTAATATATTATTTATTATATATTAGTTAATATATAATACAGTTTATATACGTATACATATATGTGTGTCTGTATGTGTGTGTATACACACTTTTTTGGAGAGGTTTTTTGCTATAGGGCGCGTGTGCTCGCCAGACAGACAGAGAGATAAAGTTTGCAGAATGTTTTTAGTGCTGTGTTTTTTTTGTTTTGTTTTTGTTTTTTGTTTTTTAAAAACAACAACAAAACACTTAAAAAATAATTTTAACAGAAATAAAATTTCTCTGCCGAATTGCTTACAAGTGTCTAAACTCTTCCTCTCAATTTCTGCAGTGGTATCAGGAATTACTGTTAGTAATACTGGTCTAGAATATGAATGGATTTTGTAAACACTTCTTGGACAGCATGAAAAAAAGTATTCTTTACCGAGTAGAAGTCTCTGTGTATGGAAATGTGTTTTCCTTTTAAAATATTTATTGATTTATTCATTTTTGCCATAGGGCTCCTGCACTTGACAGCTAGAGACAGAGAGAAGGAGAGTGAGAGATCACCTCCCCTCCCCGGGGGGTAGCCACGTTGCAGTCCCTTTTCTTCCATTCTCCTCCTGGGGTTTCTGGCATGCATACACACACCACACACACACACACACACACACACACACACACACACACACCTGGTATGATCTTCAAGCCACCGAGTCCAGGACTTGAACCATGCAGTTGGCCATGTGGGAATCCAGCACCTTAACCACCACACCACTTACTGGCCCCAGAAACATGTGACATATATGTATTTACACACGTATATCCGAGTGACACAGTTTTCGACTTCATTTGTTCCCGCTCTGTGAGATACCTTTGGTTTAACCTGAATCCCAGACTGAAAGCGATGGCTCACGCTACCAGCCGGTGTCTTCGATCTCTCATTTCAGTTTTCACTGTAAATAAGCACTCTGCAGCTTGTGCATGTTTGTAGTAGTGAAAAACTGGAAATAGCCTGCAGGGAGGAGCCGATAAACAGATCAGGGGCCGGCTGCACGGGGAGGCCATTCACTGACGCTGACGGTGTAAAGCAGTTGCCCAGACGTGAGGGCTCAGGCTGACTTGACGTTCTCCTTCTTTTAGTTTATTTATGCATTTCTTCTGAGAGAGAGAGATGCAGAGAGAGACATGGCACCCCAGCACCTCCGTCCACCCCCAGCCTTGGCCAGCCTAGATCCGGGCACTTGTGATGCCCCACGTGTACAGAGAGGACTTCCTGGGTGGCCTCGGCATCACGGAGCACTGTGTTCTCACTGCGCCACTGTGATTGACCACTTTACACTTTTGAAGTTATCGAGGAGTGGGGCCAGCAAGTGGCATGGTGGTTAAGGTGCTGGACTCCCACGTGACTGACCACAACTTGGGGCCTAGACCCAGCAGTTTGAAAATCACACCAGGCACATGTATGTGGCTGCCCAAAATCCTGAGAGGGGGATGGAGGAGAAGGGATTGCAGTGTGGCCATCCCCCCAGGGGAAGATTTATCACTTGCTGTCACTCTCTCTCTGTCTCTCCAGCAAGTACATGTGCCATATAGCAAAATCTCTCGAAAAAATTATTCAGGATAAAGAACTCATGTTTATATGAGTTGTAGCTATCAATATCCAGCAGATTCAAAATCAAAATGAAAGAATTTTTAAGTGGGTACTTATTAGCTCACTTAACAATAATAAGCACATTTCATGTTTTTCTAAACAAAACAAACAAAAAAACAAAAAAAAACTTTTATGAAAAATAACTGTATTTTCCAAAACAATGAAAATGAATGAGAAGAATGACATTCTTTTACTCTTTTGGAGAGGTTTATTTATTTATTTATTTATTTTCACTATAGGGCGCGTGTGCTCACCAGACAGACAGAGAGAGACATAGAGACAGAAAGGGAGAAATCACCCCCCAGGGGGGATGGTCACGCTGCAATCCCTTCTCCTCCATTCTCCTCTCGAGATCTTGGGCACGCACGCACATGCGCCCGGCGTGAGTTTTAAGCCACCGGGTCCGGGACGTGAACCGCGGTCGACTACGTGGGAGTCCAGCGACATAGCCATTACGCTAACTGCTGGTTCCCGACATTCTTTTACTCTTGTGCACATCTCTTTTCTATTAGTCTGGCTTAGGAGACAATGGCTGGATTTGCATATCACACATCACACAGCCTCAGGAACACTGCACCGTGTACTCATGAGAAAATGAGAGAGGGGGCCGGCAGGCAGTGTGGAGATTAAGGTGGCTGGGTCCCACATGTCTGACTACATGGTTCGAGTCCCAGACTTGTGGCTTGAAAATCATCCCAAGCATGTGTGTGCGCATGCCCAAAATCCCAACAGGAAGAGATTGTTACATGGCCATTCCCTGTGAGGGATGCTTTCTCACTTCCTCCCTCTCTATCTGTATATCTCTGTCCCTGTTTCTCTCTCTCTGGCGAGTACCTGTGCTCTATAGCAGGTTTCCCAAACCCGGGGCCATGTTCCTGTCAGTGGCCTCTCAGGAGCCAGGCTGCACCACGGGAGGTGAGGGCAGGTGAGCAAGTGAGGCTTCATCTGTAGGTGCAGCTGCTCCCCATTGCTCACGTCACCGCTTAAGCTCCACCTCCTGTCGGTGGCATCAGATGCTCATAGGCGTGGACTATTGTTGTGTGATTAGTTCATTATATATATATATATTTTTTGGAGAGGTTTTCACTATAGGGCGTGTGCGCTTGCCAGACAGACAGAGAGAGACAGAGACAGAAAGCGAGAAATCACCCCCAGGGGGGATGGCCACGCCACAATCCCTTCTCCTCCATTCTCCT